CGTTTAAACGCTTCCGCAAACACGGTAAGGTCGAGGATTTCGAGCGGTACACCGACCTCGAGAAAACTTTTAAGAGCTTGATTAAAGCCAAAAAACGCGGTTACTGGCGTCGGTTCGTCGATGGTTTGTCGAGAGAGACTTCGATGAGAACACTCTGGAATGTCGGCAGGAGAATGCGCAACGCGTCATCACCGGTCAACGAAGACAAGGAGTACTCAGACAGTTGGATATTCAGCTTCGCGCAGAAAGTTTGCCCGGATTCGGTGTCGGTTCAAACCAACGTTCGTGATAGTCCGTCGGGTAGTAACGAAATAGATTCTCCGTTTTCGATGGTGGAATTCTCACTTGCTCTCCTCTCATGTAACAACTCAGCTCCAGGAATGGATAGAATCAAGTTCAACTTGCTCAAAAATCTCCCAGACGTCGCGAAGAGACGCTTGTTGAACTTATTCAATCAATTTCTGGAGCACAACATTGTTCCGGATGACTGGAGGCAAGTAAGAGTTATCGCCATTCGAAAACCTGGTAAACCCGCGTCGGATTATAACTCGTACCGTCCCATCGCGATGCTGTCCTGTATACGGAAATTGTTGGAGAAAATGATTCTTTTTCGTCTAGACAAATGGGTCGAGTCGAATGGTTTACTTTCAGATACGCAATTTGGATTTCGGAGAGGCAAAGGAACGAGCGACTGTCTTGCGTTGCTTTCAACTGAAATTCAACTGGCCTATGCGCAAAAACAGCAAATGGGTTCAGTTTTCTTGGACATTAAGGGGGCTTTTGATTCTGTTTGTATCGATGTCCTTTCGGATAAACTCCACGATAGTGGGCTTTCACCAATTATGAACAACTATTTGAGCAACTTGTTGTCTGAGAAATATATGAGCTTTTCTCATGGAAACTCGACAACTTCACGAATTAGTTACATGGGTCTCCACCAGGGCTCATGTTTAAGCCCCCTTCTTTATAATTTTTACGTTAAAGACATTGATGGTTGTCTTGATGAAAATTGCTCGCTAAGGCAGCTTGCAGATGACGGCGTTGTGTCCGTTATAGGGCCAAGTGCACCGGACCTGCAAGGACCATTGCAAGATACCTTAGACAATTTGTCTACTTGGGCTATGAAGCTGGGTATCGAATTCTCTCCGGAGAAAACTGAGTTGGTTGTTTTTTCTAGGAAGCATCATCCTGCACAGTTACAGCTTCAACTAAAGGGTAGAACAATCACTCACAGTATATCTTTCAAGTATTTAGGTGTCTGGTTCGATTCCAAATGCACATGGGGAAAACATATTGCGTATCTAAAACAAAAATGCCAACAAAGAATCAATTTTCTTCGTACAATTACCGGAACTTGGTAGGGAGCACACCCGGAAGATCTTATCAGGTTGTATCGAACAACCATCTTGTCGGTTCTAGAGTACGGTAGCTTCTGCTTTCAATCCGCGGCGAAAACACATATCTTGAAGCTGCAACGAGTTCAATACCGTTGCCTCCGAATCGCGCTTGGCTGTATGCACTCGACGCATACGATGAGCCTCGAAGTACTCGCGGGTGTTCTCCCACTGACAGATCGTTTCGCTGAGCTGTCTTTCCGGTTCCTCATCCGTTGTGAAGTATTGAATCCTTTGGTAATAGAACACTTTGAGAAGCTGCTCGACCAAAATCCTCAAACAAGATTCATGAGTTTGTACTATGAGTACATGACGCTGGAGGTTGGTCCTTCTTCATTAATCTCCAATCGTGATTGCTTCCAAGCCTTCTATAGTTCCTCTGTAAATTTTGATCTGACCATGATGCAAGAAATCCATGGAATACCAGATCACCATCGGTCGATGGTTGTTCCCTCAATTTTTGCAATCAAGTACCACCATGTAAGTAACGATAAAAGATTTTTCACAGATGGGTCAACCATAAATGCTTCCACTGGATTTGGTGTATTTAATCAATTTCATAGCGCCTCCTATAAACTGCAGAAACCATGCTCCGTATACGTTGCGGAACTCGCAGCTATATTTTACGCAGTAGAGCGAATTGCCTCACTACCTTCTGACCATTATTTCATTTTTACGGATAGTCTTAGCTCATTGGAGGCTATTCGTTCAATGAGGCCGATGAAGCACTCCTCGTATTTCCTGCCTGAAATACGATCTAAACTGAGTGCTTTATCAAACTGCTCCTATACTATCACCTTAGCTTGGGTCCCATCTCATTGCTCAATTCCGGGTAATGAGAAAGCGGACTCATTGGCTAAGGTGGGCGCTATGGAAGGCGATATTTTTGAGCGACAAATCGCCTTCAACGAATTTTTCTCCATTGCTCGCCAGCAAGTCCTCATCAGTTGGCAACAAAAATGGAATGATGGTGAATTGGGAAGATGGTTACATTCTATTCTCCCACAGGTGTCGAACAAACCATGGTTCAAAGGGTTGGACATGAGCCGCGACTTTATACGCGTTATTTCAAGGCTTATGTCCAATCACTGCTCGTTAGACTCGCACTTCTATCGAATTGGGCTCTCAGGCAGCAATTTATGTGCGTGTGGCAGTGGTTATCACGATATCGAGCATGTTGTTTGGTCGTGTACCTTACACCGTGTTGCCAGATCTGAGTTATCCACATCCCTCAGGGCCCGAGGAAAACAACCCGCGATACCCGTTAGAGATGTCTTGGCGAGCCGAGACCTCGACTATTTGATTTTAATTTATGTGTTTTTAAAACGGATAGATTTGAGGATTTAGAAGTTAGTGTCATCTTGTGTTCTCCCAAGTTGTTAGCTACCCATCGGTGTACCCCCATGTTTGTCTTTTTCATCAGAGTGTCGCCTAGTTCGAGATCAAGAGCACATTGCTCTCCAAACCTTGTGTTCACAATCCCTACCCTGCCATCCATTTGTTACAATTTGTTACCCCTAACCTCGAGATAGCCGCGAGTAATCGGCCCCCGCTTTACTAACGTTAGTTTTAAGTAATTTTGTTATCTAAACAATGAATATCGGCTCCGCAAAGCTACAGCAAATGAGCCTGGAAAAATAAACGAATTATTGAAAAAAAAAAAAAAAAAAATAAAACCTACGATAACTTTTATAGCATCTTAGTTAAACTGATTGACAAGAGCTATATAGTACGTGGAATAAACGCATCAAAACAAGCCATTGGGAGCTCTTATACAACATCTGAGTTGATCAAACGTTGAATAATAGCTTCCAGAGTTGTACAAGAATGTAGTTGTATTGCCATTTGGTTAAAAGCTTCAAAAACTGCTTGGAGCACTCTTAAATGATTGTTTACGTTCGGTTAAACTGTTTGACAGGAACCATATAGAACGTGGAATAAACGCATCAAAACAAACCATTGGGAGCTCTTATACAACACCTGAGTTGATCAAACGTTGAATAATAGCTTCCACACGGACAGAAAATTGTTTGCATTGAACCAAACAAAACTTTAGTTGTATTTAAACAAACAATTCCGGTTGAAATTATATTGCATTTTATTGTTTCTATAAAACTTATTCAAATAAACTCAACATAAGATTCTTTTTGTTTTAATAAGCCACTTTTCAATTGCAACTATTGTAAAAATAACAATATTCTATTATTAAGCCAACAATAGTTAATTTTAATTTAGCATTTATTTGCTGTGTCCATTCCCCGGGCCATGAATACAAAAATAACTACCAACCATTCCCTCGTTTTCACCCGGACAAAAATGTAAACAATAACAAAAATTTTCTCATTTGATTAAGTATTGTTTTTAATTGTGAATTTCGGGAAATAAGTACGAGATTTCCGAAAATCTTAAGACTTGAGGTAAGCAAGTAAGCTGCAGTTCAAGCTGCAGTTGTTAAATATAATCAATTTTTAAGTTTTTTTTTCCTTGATTTTTTTCCGTCGATCTTGTTTTCCGTACTGAGTACCAATGCTCCCGACGCCAGGAATGCACCTCCCACACCTGGACCCTACATATCGACCCATCAACTCATGAACCGGTGACCAACGGCTTTTCTTCCCTTCCGAAGGAAGGCGTGATCAGCAATTTTATGCCTCAAAAATTCAATTGCAATTCTGTTTGTTGTCACAAAAAAAAATCGACATTATTTTTGAATCAATAAACATATTGTTATTTCTACTGCGTGAATTGTCAGCCTTCATAAAATAAATTTGATTGAATCAACAAGAAATCTCTTTTAAAAACAAACATATTTTTCTTGTTGCCAGCCAAATTTGACAGCTTACGGCAAAACCATGAAAGCTCTTGTAAATTCGAAAAGATTTTCTTTTTGATTCAACAATCCATGGGTTTTAAGGGACAATAATGCTGGATTGTTGAAACAATAATGATTTCTTTTTGCAGCCAAAACAAAATGAAATTCTTATTGCATTTACGTCAAATATTATTACGTTTAAAATATTTTTTTCTGCGTGCAGAGTTGTATAAGAATGTAGTTGTATTGCCATTTGGTTAAAAGCTTCAAAAACTGCTTGGAGCACTCTAAAATGATTGTTTACGTTCGGTTAACCTGTTTGACAGGAGCCATATAGGATGTGGAATAAACGCATCAAAACAAACCATTGGGAGCTCTTATAAACACCTGAGTTGATCAAACGTTGAATAATAGCACAAACGAAGTTACAGACGACTTTCTACGAAGAAATTAATTAAAATAAGGTGGTTCTCTGTAATAGAATTTTAGACCACTTTCCGCCGCTCACCGCCAGGTTCGCTAGTATTTTTGATTTGAATTAATTCAAGTTGGTTTTGTGTGCAATGATCTGGCAACTCGCGTTCTCACTCGCGTTGACGGGGTGCTGTTTTCTCACTCATCGAAGGAAATTTTGATAAGAGTGAGAAAGTAAGGAACAGTCAGCGCGGGAACCGTGTGCGGTACTATAGGTGCGGCAGAAAGAATGTAGTCGACTCCTTCGTTCTCACGGTGTTCTTACGCATGATCCAACGTTACGTCACACTAGATTATGCATAAGAACGTCGTGATAATGAAAGAGCAAAGTTTGTATGTTTGGGAGCCTCTCGCATTCAACTCACATTCGTCCTCGAGTTCGTGTGGAAGCCATTCAGAGCGGAGGTGGCCAGGAGCGTGGCATTCGAAGTGGAACCGTTCCGACTCCACTGGTCGTTGGATTGGGGGAAGCCTGTGAAATCGCTAGCCGTGAAATGGAGTACGATCACAAATGGATGGAGTTCCTCTCGAAACGCCTGATGGACCAAATCTTCGCATCGCTACCGAAAGTCATCCGCAATGGCGATCCAGTTCATTCTTATCCCGGATGTATCAATCTGTCGTTTGCATACGTTGAGGGTGAATCGCTGTTGATGGCGCTGAAAGACGTTGCCCTCTCGAGTGGGTCGGCTTGCACTTCGGCTTCGCTGGAACCGTCGTATGTGCTGCGTGCGATTGGTGCCGACGAAGATCTGGCTCACAGCTCGATTCGCTTTGGCATCGGACGGTTTACCACCATCGAGGAAATCGACTACATAGCTGAAAAGTGCATCAAGCACGTGACTCGACTCCGAGAGATGTCCCCGCTGTGGGAGATGGTCCAGGAAGGTATCGACATCAAGTCGATCCAGTGGTCGCAGCATTAGAGCGGACGGGTCGGGGCATATTTTAAAGAGAGATTTGATTTTGTATGTTCTGCTGTGTATGGTTGAATTCAGTGAGGGTTTTTTTTTTAATTGTTAATCATTGATTGTGTTATTAACACATCCACTTTTGGTAGTAAGTAGGTATTGAGACGAGAGAAAAATAATGTATAGCTTTGCTACATATGCTATTAGAGACAGCAATAAATCTTAGACAGTGAAATCATTGTGAGTATTTCATCATTCACTTGGCGAAAAAACTTGCTATCAGCGATTGTTTGAAATAGTATAAACTTTGTTAGTTCCCGTCAAGGACGGCGTTGTTACGACTACGCTAAATTCGCAAATCTGAGGTATTCGTGGACTGCCATCTCAGATTTGCTTTGGCGCGGATTAGTTCCACTTAGGGTTAATTCAACTAAGTTTCGATTCTAATTATTTTAAGACTCCAGGAAAATCTACGTTTAGAAAGACTTTCTATTATTTAATAAAGAAGTAAAGCAGTAAAGTTATTAATAGTTGGTTGGGCAAGCTAAAATATCATTTAAAAAAATGTGTTCAATGTCGATAAGCTTTCCGCAAAATCCGCACTTCAAAAGCTATAAAACCGCACAAAATTTGCGACACTTGTAACAGCCCTGCAGTTGGCTTCGGCGTGCCAGAGAATACCTAATCCACCTAACCGGACCTGAAGAAACGGAAAGGAGCGCGACTGGGATTAGACGGGCTAGCTCTCTACTGACATACAATATAGCATGGTTGCAGCAACCTTATATTTCACCTATTTGTCCCTAAAGATCACTAATTTACACCCGACACCCTAGGTAGGATAATGTCATCGCAAATAACAACAATTCCCGTTGAATACATAGTGCGAAAAATGCTCTTTACTTACCCCAAACCGTCTCATCACAACCTACGCCTCGGTCAGCGTGGCCCGACCGATCGTTTTCGGCATCTTTTTATTGGTGGAATCCGAGGGGGACGACTCTATCTACGATGCAAAAAAGATTGTGTTTTGCTGTGGCTAGCTGCGCGCACGCTGAGTAGATAGAAAGAAGATTGATGACGATTCTGAAGATTTCCTGCAAAAAGATGATGAGCGATGCAAGTAGATGCGACAAATGAAAGAAGATTTTTCGAAGATTGATTCGCTAGTGTGAGATTTGTTGAGCATCTAAACTTGAGATTTAGATGTGTCGCCCCCCTCGGTGGAATCCTCGAGCTCCTTCGGTTTGTAGTAATGCGGTGCCGCCTCCAGCAGCCACTTGCTTTCGATTTCAATCACCGACCGCATGTACTCCTTCGTCGTAAACACCAGCTCGTGGTACAGCACCCAACGAGGCAGTTCTTCGAACAGTGCCGAATTCGGATGGATCATCACCGTCTGATTGTGCTTGGCCGTTTTGTAGTGACCCCCCTTGGAGAGCCGAGCGACGAGATAAAAGTACCCGGCTGTAATAGCCTTCCGGATGTTGGTCGTTTCCGGCAGACTGGAAACCATTTCGATTTCGACTCGCTGCATTAACCCAACCAGCTGCTCCCGGACATCGCGAGCTCGTTTCATCGAACGGAACTGAATGAAATTTTCGTAACACCACTGAGTGCTGTAGTCCGATTCGGCCCATTGGTTGTAGACCTGCAGCAAACTCAAGTGGTCCCCGTGCATGTGGTTGAAGTTCTTCCGGGCCGTATCTGCGTGGATGATTTTATCTTTCGGTCGGTAGAAGATGGCTCCATTCACCGATAGCATTGCAGCGATGGCCACCACCTCCTCGGAACATTTGTACTTTTCACTAGCAAGCAGCATTTTTGCCATCATGGGATCGACCGGAAATTCCGCCATCCGTCGTCCAAGTTTGGTCAGTTCACCGTGGTGATTCAATGCCCCTAGGGCGTAAAGTTGCTCCAATGCCAAAACCAACGTTTCATGTGCTGGAGGATCGAGGAAATCGAAATGAAGCAAATCGTTGATTCCAAGAGCTTTGAGCATTAGCACGGCATTGCCCAGGTTTATGCGCTGAATTTCCGGGACGGTGTTGTCTTCCAGCTCGTGTTTGTATGCCCAGGCTGTGTACAGACGAAAGCACTTGCCAGGGGCAACGCGCCTTGCTCGACCTGCACGTTGATTGGCAGACGCTTTCGAAATGGGCACGACCATCAGGGTCTCCATCCCGGTTCTGGAGTTAAAATTATTTTGCTTTGCAAAGCCCGGATCGATCACGTACATTATGTTATCGATGGTTAGTGATGTCTCGGCGATGTTGGTGGCCAGTACGACTTTCCGGGCGTTCGGTGGAGTTGGATCGAAAATTTTCGCCTGCATGTCCGACGGCAGATTGGCATAAATGGGAAGGATGAGTAGTTCCTTGAGTTTGGAACCCAACCGCTTGACGCGATCCTGGATCCGAAGAAGTCAACGATTTGATACGACCGGTTTGGCTCGAAGCAATTTTTCGACGGAAGTTCCTCGAAGTTTTCGACGGAAGTTCCTCGTGGCAGTGGAATATAAATGCCACGCTGCTGCATCTGCTGACTAAAGTCGTCCTTGTTGTTGCACAAAGGGCACTTGAAAAAGTACCCCGCCGATTGGGCAAACTGTGCCATGCAGCTTTTTATTGTACATTTCTCATATACCATGATTTTCGTTGTGATTTTATGGAAGGGCCATAGTGAATTTTATGAGAGGGCATAGTGAACAAGTGGGGCATAATGAGCATCCCATGCCTCAGCTTGGTCTTCCGGCCGTTCCGAACAAATTGGTTGGTGGTAGCCTTATACATTTTATTAATAATCAGCAATGGAAATTTGCCAAAAGGTATAAGGGGATTTTTATCAGTGCTGGCATCGGTAGCATTGGTGCTCAGTACGGAAAACCAGATCGACGAAAAACAAATCAAAGGAAAAAAAAAGAAATAAGATTAACAGAACTTTATCTGTACAAGTGCAGAAAAAGTTTCATATTTTTGAATTTCCTGCAGAGTTTTAAACTTTTTTCGAACAGTCCGCAATTCAAAAACCCAGTAAAACATTACTGACTGGATTAATGTGTATATGTTATGTGCAGCTTAACTGCTGTAATATTCAACAACTTTTTTTTACTGTTTCCCTAATAAAAAACTACCATACATGAACGAAAACCCAAATAATAAAACTATTCAACAAATGGTTTGGATGATACCCCGAACACGTCGTTAAGCAAAATAACCATAACAATTTTATTAGGGTTGGTTTTCAATTTCAGATTGAATTCCAATTTCCCATTTGCTTCGACGTAAAAACTTGCCGCAGATTGTTAACCGAGCTTGTGCTGCGTAGGTGGAAGAGATTACTCCGTTGAAAACTTCATCTGCATGATAACTGGAAAGTTTGATAACTGGTACTTGTCGATGACGATGATCTCGTCTAATCAACCAATTCGACAGGGACATCCACTACCCGCACCCGTACCGGAAAATGTTTGGAATGATGAATAAGAAGAGGCTGAGCAGTCGAGGCAGCAAGAGACAAAAGCGTGACATCAAATCCTATGTCCCGATCGATTCGTACAGAAGTTTCAATGCGCCGCCTGTTCGGAAAGGATTCCCCGTGACATGAGCGAGCGTCACTACGCGAAGTATGCCGGCCATACCTATCGGGTTGATATCGATCCAGTGATCGATCTGTACGACGAAACTACTGCCACGGCGATTGTAATCCGCTCCATGGAAGTGCAGCGGCAAGTGACGATCTACTACGACAAATGCAACGTGCCTAAGAAATCGGCTTTCAGATTAGTATTCCACCGGTTGGTTTGGCAAACACGACCAGTACTCGCACTGTCTGGTTCTGCAGAATAATAAGAAGAAGCTGGAGCAGACAAAACTGATATCCGGCAGCTTGGGTGGATCCTTCCAGTTCCGCTACGGAGGAGTGAATGTATACCAGCATACCGAGTATGGCCGGGTTCTGTTTGGCGTCCAACAACGATGTCTATGTCTTCTCGGTCGCGAATGACTGTGACTTAGGCTTCTAGCACGGACTGAAGAAATCTGTAGCAACAATTGCAACAAACGCGAGTCATTGACAGCTCAACATCGTTTACTTGTACGCAAATGTTAACCCGATGTGTTCATCCCTAATCATTTTGGCCTATGGTCTTTCATTATACAAAAGAAGCGATATAATGACATGCTGTTTGACAACAGGCTCTCCCTTTCAATTTTCGTTAGAGAAAAAGAGATAACAGGCGGTACCCCCTAGTTTAATCTAGTACATATGAGTAGATAGTGTTGCCGTGAGGTACACTCGAAAATTGTAAATGTAAGTGCGTCAAATCAAATTTCGAGCCGCTCCGTCTGTCACTTCGTTTGTGATAATAGCTTCCAGAGTTGTACAAGAATGTAGTTGTATTGCCTTTTTGGTTGAACGCTTCAAAAGCTGCTTGGAGCACTCTTAAATGATTGCTTACGTTCGGTTTACCTATATGCTTTATAAGACCTACGATAACTTTTATAGCACCTTAGTTAAACTGATTGACAAGAGCTATATAGAACGTGAAATAAACGCATCAAAACAAACCATTGGGAGCTCTTATACAACACCTGAGTTGATCAAACGTTGAATAATAGCTTCCAGAGTTGTACAAGAATGTAGTTGTATTACCATTTGGTTAAAAGCTTCAAAAACTGCTTGGAGCACTCTTAAATGATTGTTTACGTTCGGTTGTAAACCCCTCTGCTACTCAGTGGAAAAAGTTATCAACAGGGTCGGAAGGAAGGAATACGGTATACCACTCTCACTCTTCAATCTATGCTGTCAGTAGTAACTCACGACGATAGGGTATTGTCCATAAACAGGGCAAAGGGGAAAGACAACATGAATGATTCACTTATGGTTTTCTATGCTCAAAAGCCACAGAGTCAATTTCCTACTGAATAAACCACAAAGGGAGGGAGGCATGAAGACTCCTTTCGAGTCCGGAGAACGATACACAAAAGAAATGGTAGTGAGATTTTCAACTAGTATGAAAAGTTCTGGACTAAGAAAATTACATGTACAATAGCATTATATTCTAGATTTTACGATACATAGTTTTTAACATTGTGACGTCACATTTTACTTGCGGTTTGGCTTCGTTTTCGGGGTTTCTCGGCAGTGGCGGTGGTGGTGGCGATGGGGCGATGGTGGCGGTGATGAAGCGGGTGGTGGTTATTCTGGCGAATCACTAATTGGTCTA